TACATATTTTGTTTACCAAAAGGAACCTCAGAGGTAAGAGACTTTGAATGTCTGATATTCTCTCCTCTTTAGCTTTCAAGAAAACCATTTTTTTCCCTCCTATTGTCTTTGCTAACAAAATGTCATAGACATTTGTCATAGACAAAATAGACTTTTTTTGAAAAACTTTCTTTTTTCTGAAGCTTTAATCAAAAATACAATTTTAAGATAGTCTTTATCTTGGTACAATTAACAAAAAACCTACAACTTCCAGCTGCTTGGCAAGTGGCCAGAATCTTTGTGATTCTCTTACCCTTCCCTCAGACTTGTCACACTCATGTTTGCAGATGGTTGCCATAGGAGCTCTGAATATCATCTGAGATCAAAATGAGAGGAAGGGGGAAAGGCTGTATCAGCAGCATGCTTGCCTTATGGGAACAGACTTCCCAGAAGCTACCAGCAGACTTCCATTTATCTCATTGGTCGTAACTGTGACAGGCTCAAAGCTAACTGCAAGTGCAGCTGCAAAAACAAGTATTTAGTTTTTCTCATTCCTATCTAAGAGGCGGCAAAGCAGAAGAGGAATATAAGTATCTGTAGTGTTAGCCAGTGAACAGTCTGCTATTCAAAGGAACTGTTATAGAAGTGTGGGCTAGCAGATCAGCTCATTCTAGAGTCCTCCAGAGTTATAGGCTTAATAACCCAAATGTGGGGCTTTACATTTCACACCTTAATCACTGACTACTGCTAATGTCTTTGATTACAATTAGCTAGGCTGCAAACATTATTTAAGGTCTATACTTACTCTCACCATGTCTACTATAATAAAACATTATTGAGTATACATTGGTTCCATTGCTTATTATTTTATGTTGAGATGACACTGATCTAATTTTCTCTAATTATATACATAAGAAAGTGACCAGTGAGGTCTGTTTTGATTTGAGGCTGAAAACCATGATCGTGACTTCATACTGTGCTCTAGTCAAAAATCCACCTATAGCTTACCATTAGCTAGCATTTCTAAGTGCATTCCATATTATTCAGTGATCTTCTTTCAAGGCGTTTTCGTTTTTTTTTTTTTAATAGTATTTTGCTCTGATGCCTGGGCTGAAGGGCAATGGTGCAGTCACAGCTCACTGCAGCCTCAACTCTGGTGCTCAGGTGATTCTTCCACCTCAGGAGCTGGGACTACAGGCACAGGCCACCGCATCTGACTAGTTTTTTGTAGGGATGGAGTTTCTCCATGCATGCTATCCAGGCTGGTCTCCTGAGCTCAAGCAATCCACCCAGCTTGGCCTCCCAAAGTGTTGGAATTACAGGCATGAGACACTGCACCTGGCCCCCAAAATATGTATGTTCTAATAGAACTAAAATAGGGGAAAAAAATGGAAGAAGATAAAAAATAAAGTCATGATTACAACAGAAAAGCATAACCATACAAGTGAACTACAATTTGGCCTAGAGCTGCCCAAAAGAGAAAGAGGAGCAACAAAGAGAGCTGCCCAAACGACAAAGAGAGCAACCAAAAGACTCTTTTAAGATGAAAACAAATCCCAAATGCCCATCAGTGATAGACTGGATAAAGAAAATGTGGCACATATACACCATGGAATACTATGCAGCCATAAAAAAGGGTGAGTTCATGTCCTTTGCAGGGACATGGATGCAGCTGGAAACCATCATTCTCAGCAAACTATCACAAGAACAGAAAACCAAACACTGCATGTTCTCACTCATAAGTGGGAGTTGAACAATGGGAACACATGGACACAGGGAGGGGAACATCACACACTGGGGTCTGTTGGGGGGTGGGAGGCTAGGGGAGGGATAGCATTAGGAGAAATACCTAACGTAGATGATGGGTTGAGGGGTGCAGCAAACCACCATGGCACGTGTATACCTATGTAATAAACCTGCATGTTCTGCATGTGTATTCCAGAACTTAAAGTATAATAAAAATAAAATAAAAAACCGCTAATAGAAAAAAGAGAGAAAAACAAATTAGGCTGGTTGCAGTGGCTCACACCTGTAATCCCAGCACTTTGGGAGGTTGAGGCAGGTGGATCACCTGAGGTCAGGAATTTCAGACTAGCCTGACCAATATGGTGAAACCCTGTCTCTACTAAAAATACAAAAATTAGTTGGACATGGTGATGTGTACCTGTAGTCCCAGTGACTTGGGAGGCTGAGACAGGAGAATTGTTTGAACCTGGGAGGCAGAGGCTGTAGTGAGCCAAGATTGTGCCACTGCACTCCAGCCTGGGCGACAGAGTGACTTCGTCTCAAAAAAAAAAAAAACCAAACACACAAACAAACAAACAAAAAAAAACAAAGAAAAAAAACCCCGCACTACCCCCACTGAAAATCAACTGTTTAGGAGAAGCACATATTTTGCTGAGATCAAGACCCAAGAGAACTTTCTCCTGTGGGTCTTCATAAAAGGCACACTATGTGATATATTTAATCGTAGCCATTAGCCTTAAAAACACATGTCTTGAAAATATGTTTTGATGACTGTGTTTGCTATTAGGAGCCAACAGCATAGAAACAAAGTGTAATGCAGTAACAGTAATTCTATGAAGAGCCAAAATGGGGATCACATATGTAGCTCTCTGAAGATTTCCTAGAGGATAAAATTTAGATTCCTCTCTCTGCTAGTTGGGAATACAAACTTGTCTTATCATAATCTCCAAACTCATGTGTTTCTATAAGTAATAAAATCCATTTCAAAACCAAATTATTTTTTATATCTAAAGCCACTATTCCCTTTTAATATCACAGACTGAAGTAGACTACATAATTTATCTAAGCATGGTTTTCTAAATAAATGTGCTGTAAATGGCTGATCTCAGTGTAGTAGATACATTTTAAAATGCTGTCTTATGGTTGTACTAACTATATGTAAACTTATTTTTAAAAGGTTAAGTTAAAAGATTGTCCACAAAAATGTTGTTTCAGTTGCATTCAATTTTTAAAATTATTAATACAGGTTATGTTAAAGTGCATTGCAACTATTCACAAAGACTTTCAAAAAATGATCAGCAACATAAAGTGTAAACTTAAAAAGAAAATCAGACTCATTCCACATCTGTGAAATTCACCACTTAAATATAATTCAATTTACAATAATTGTAAAAGATAGGGAGAATATAGAAAATAGAGGGGGAAAACGGTATTCAACATATGAACAACACTGCTACTGTTGTAGTGAAAAAATAATTTATTAAATGAACATAATACTGGGAGTAAAATGCATTACAAAAGTAAAAAAAAAGTAAATTATAAATATAAATAATAGTGGTTTACCTAATTAACAGATTTTTTTCTTCATCCTTGCAGAACTTTAAATACAATCTTCCAAAAAGCCAGATTGAAAAAGTGGGTGGTTCACTTTAGAACAGACAGGCAACACTATAATATCTAGAATTTGGCAAAGATCTGTTATATAAGATTCAGAATTGTACTGATTAAATGATTGTTCTTTTTAAGCCTTTTGCAAGTCCAGAATAATAATTTTAATAAATAAGCAGATCAACTTGTTATATTCATTTCTGTCTCTAAGGATAGCAAACATATTTCTAATATACGTTGTGAAAAATGTTCTGAGAGCATACCTGTGCACTTTGATAAAGACTAAAAATTTTTGGTTATTTGGTAAAAAGTTATCTCCTTTTTACTCCAAAGGTTAACAACAGCCATTGGATGTGTTGATATATGTCAGTAGAATTTAAACAGCCACACCTTAATATATACATCAAGATACTGATAAACTTTTAGATAGTAAAGAAAAAAATGGAGGTTGTTATTCTACTTCTCCAGTAAGTTTCCCTCAGTTTTTAGAAAGCATACCGACTGGGATTGCAAAATGCCAGCATGATTACAATGCATATTAACAGCAATATGCAAAACAGTGAAAACAGAAAATAAATAACTTCACACTATAAAAATGAAACAAGGCACTTTCAATGACTGTACACGAAGCTGAAATAAACAAACATTTTTTCATAAAGCTGACTCATAGACTCTAGGAGACTTTTGTAGAAAGTGAAATAGTAAAGGCACTACATAATTCTTTCTCCTAACTCTACTTACTAAAGAAATCCACCAATTAAACTTGGCACAAAAGAGTTTAATGATCATAAAGTGCATCACTTGGCTAAATATATTAAAAAGAAAATCAGCCATAATACAGTATAATAACATCTTCACATATATAGAAATAAAAATGTAATGTCAGGAATCAAGACAGTTAGGAACTTTGCAGTATATATGGCTTTTTATTTTTTTTGTATAAGCCCCTATTTATATAGAATCTATATTTTCAAAAGAATATGCCTTAACAAAAGGAGGTAGTATTCTGAAAGAGGCAAACTCATGAAATCTAGGTAGGTAGAGATAAAGATTATGTGGAAACTAAACAAATGCAACATATTAATAACCATGACACTTATTAAAGTATTTTGACATTAATGAATCAGCTTTTAAAATCAAGGCTTTCTTATCATGTTAGCTATATGATTACAGCTCTTTCAAGTAGTTTTCCTTTGGTACTAGAAAGTCATTTTTTTTTCTGAAGAGCATTAACATTTCAAATAAGCAAATTTTATTTAGAGATGGTAAACATGTAAACATTAAAAACTCAACTAAATTTTATCTTTACTATGATGGTCACTAATTTATACCATTAATGAAAATATGTCATGTCAGAGATATAAAGAAGAATACATCACCCAGATAGTAACATGCAATTAATTTCCATTTGATTAATATAATTGGTGATTTAACACACATACATATATACACAGTAGTTTGGAGCAATATATAGGCAAAACACCATAATAATTTATGCACAGTATTTAAGAATGTGGGCCTTGATAACAGAATTCCAACAAGATTTTTTTTTAGTGTATTAAATATAATTGGATAAAATTAAAAGCAGCAGTGAATATATTTCCTATCTCAATAACTTAAAAAAATTCTTTATGTAAACTTCATACATGTGCATTCTTGCTCTTTTCTATATGTTTTACAGTTCTTTTTTTCTTTTAAAATAGTATTTGCCACTCTTCTAAATTTGCTGAATAGTCTAAATGGAGGGAACCGCTTGTGATATATTAGTCTTCTTCAGCATCATATGCCACTTCTGCTACTTCTATCTCTGATACAGCATTTTCAGGTTCACTAAAACTTAAGCATGGTTT